ATATATATGGGTTATATAATTTAGGAGCGCTGGTGGCACAGTGGTTAAGAGCTCGACTGCTAACCAAAAGATTGGCAGTTCGAATCCACCAGCCGCTCCTTGGCAGCCTGTGGGGCAGTTCTACTCTGTCCTGTAGGGTTGCTATGAGTCAAAATTGACTCGATGGAATAGGTTTGGATTTTTGGGTTTTTTAATATATTTTATTTTATTTTGTTGTTGTTGTTGTTGAGAATATACACAGCAAACCAGACCAATTCAACAATTTCTACATGTACAATTCAGTGACATCGATTACATTCTTCGAGTTGTGCAACCATTCTTTTCGTTTTCCGATTTGTTCCTCCCCCATTAACATAAACTCACTGCCCCCTAAGTTTCCTCATCTTTTGGGTTGCTGTTGTCAGTTTGATCCCATATAGACAGATCTTGAAAGAGCATAATGCTCAAGGCCGACATTCTTTACTAGTTAAATTAAACTATTGTTTGGTTTTAAGAAGACTTCAGGGGATATTTCTGGTTTAAAGTTTAAAGATTATCTCAGGGCAATAGTTTCAGGGATTCATCCAGGCTCCATGGCTCCAGAAAATCTGAATTCCATGAAAATTTGAAATTCTTTGCTGCATTTTCCCCCTTTTGATCAGGATTCTTTTTCACGTAATATTTTCTTACTGCAAAAGTCCAGCACAAACATACTGAATTCCCTTGGAATTCCTCCCAGAGCTCCGTATGACCTGTACTGAAGCAGAAGAGATGAGAAGTGAAATGACAGACCCACCCTAAGCAACATTTCAACCAAGTGCTCTTGAGTGGATTAGTAAAGCTTTTGGAGGGAGGCAGTGTAAATCAGAATGGCCCTCCGAGACCGGAAGTGTAGGGTCATTTGACGTGTGGATCACAGGCCCAGAGGAAGGGGCAGCCAGGCTCAAGGCAAAGTGGAAGGGTGGGGGAGATAGCAAACCCCCGTCATCTTAAGTTCCCACCATGACATTGCACAGTGACAACTGCTTCAAGAGTGTGTCTGCTGGGATGAAGTTGATGAACTACCTGGGACAGACACTCCAAGAGAGGTGGTATAGGAAGGAGACCCTGTCACCCCCAAAGAGTCACAGCCTCTTTTTCTTTTCCCAATTGTCTAATTTCAGGAAATGGCTGCCCTAGTAACTCCTCTCTTAGACCTGCAGGTGCAAACATTGAATAGATTAGCCTAGACTGGATTAATTTCATTCCCCATGCGCCTGGTCCAAAAAAGCCTAAAACTCACACATCCTGCTCTCTTGCTGTGTTCACAACCCTGTCATTGCTCAAATAACCCACACTTTGGGCCAAGGTCATGAGTGGCTTGGAGTGGCTCTGAGGCTGCACTCAGCCCAGCCACGGAGCTGTGTCCTGTCACTGACTTGGTGAGGGGCCTATAGCATGGCTGCTAGAGAGGATCTTTTCTCTCATAGGACTTTCAGTGACCATACTTTTATGCCTACTTCTGGGCATGACTGTCAGATTTATTCCCTTAATGTCTATTATAAAAAAGTTCTGTTTGAACACAGAATATGTTCCCCAAAGCTCTTTTCTTTTCTGGAAGGGCATTTTAAGTGTAAAATTACAGTAGTACTAGCTTTGATTATTAACAGACACCTGGGATTTTTTTTTAAATCACATTGTTTATCTTGGTGCTGGGCTACATAGTAGGCCCAAGTCCAGCAGAGTGAGTATCCTACGTGCATATGTGCATGTTGAGATTGAGAGAGAATTTTTTTGAACCCAGAGCCAAATTTATATGTAAGGGCACCAATAAATGATACCTATAATTATTATTAGGAGTCCCTGGGTAGGACAAATGGCTAGCGCACTCAGCTGCTGATCATAAATGTTGTTGGTTTGAGTCTACCCAGAGGTGCCTCAGCAGAAAGTTCTGGCAATCTGCTTCCGAAATATCACAGCCACTGAAAACCCTATGGAGCGCAGTTCTACCCTGACATACATGGGGTTGCCATGAGTCATAACTGACTGGATGGCAACTGGACCTAGTCTGGCCTGGACAGCATGACTCCTTTTCAACAGATAATCTAGGCTGGACAATAATTACTGAATGGGATGAGGTTCCCCCCGCCCCATAAAAAATATTCTAGTCCCTAACTTTGGAAATTACAAGGATGTCGTGATCCTAGATAAAGTAAGGAGGCCTCAAAGGAACCACCAGAGCCAGCAGCACAAATGTTCTGGGAACCATTGCTTTGCATTGTTGGAAAAGAGCCCCACAGAGACTCATCCCTCAGAATGTGCCAGCACCAATAAAGCCTGTGAGGAGCACAAAGGGTCATAATGATAATATTTACATTGAAGCTGCTCAAGATTCCAGGCTTAACTGGGCTCGTTTGAACTTGGAAGAAAACACACAAGAGAAGCAGGGTTGAGGCTCCCTACAGTAGGAGAGGAAAGGGTGGCTAGCATTCTGTCAAGGTCAGGGGCCAATTAGTTTTCATCCCTCTGTCTCTGGGAAAGGCAGCTGCTTACCTGTCTGAGACAGCCTGCCCCCAGTGGTATGCTGGTCAGCGTTTAACAACAGGCTCTCAGGAGACAGATCACTGGGGCTTTCAGCATGTGCTGATTTCCGGGGTGGAATTACTTCCACCAGCAATGATTTTAAGCTACCAAT